CCGTCCAGATCCGGTTGCAGTTCAGGACTCGTGCCAGTCAGGGTTCCGTGCAGCAGCTGTAGCAGTAGCTGGTCAGGTGTCCCAGTCAGACCCAGTGCTCAGCCTTCCAGTTCGGTTTGATATGACAAGCACTGATCATGATGACAACTGGGATCTCAGTCCAGCTTCGACTCTAGTGCGTGTGGCGGCCATCAGCCGGCCGAGCCTTGAGCAGCCTCTTGAAATCTGTGTCGATACCGCTGCCGATGAGTCTTGTCTCCCGTTGAGCTTCGGTCGCGTTGGATCCCGTGCTTCAGGTGAACCACCCTTGGTTGATTGCCAAGGCAATGCCATCCACACCAAAGGCAGTAGGCTGGCTACGCTTGAAGCTTCAGGGGTTGAGCTGATGGAACGCTGGGTTGTTTCTCCGGTTGCTCAGCCGATCTTAGCTGCGGGAAAGATGATGAAACAAGGTTGGAGGTTTGTCGACTTTGATGATCTTGGCATGTGCTTCACCAGCCCTGGCCATGAAGCTAGGATTCCTGTGGGGTACAGCAACAACACGCTAGTGTGCAGCGGCGTAGTGCGAGCCATCAGCGAGGCCGGGCCCTCCCAGGTTTGTGCCGTGAAAGTGCGACTGTCTGGGTTGCTGGACCGCTTGCTTAATAATGCCGAGTACTTTCAGGAGATTGCCCCCGGTGTGCATGCCACAACCCTCACTTCTCAGCACCATGTTGACTTGGGCCTGTATCTTCCTTACGAAGGCCTTGCGTATCGCACCACGTTGGTGAAAGCTGATGGGGACTGGGTTCTTTCAGAGCTTTCGTCTTCCATTGCAGAACTAGATGACGCAACCAGCCAGGTCGCTGAGCATGCTGTGGAAATGATTGTGTTCGGGCACCGGGAGCCCTTGTCTCCGAGTGAGCTAGGCTTCGTCACTGACATTCCCGCGCTTGATGCACCTGCCCCTGCTCCCAGAGACGTTCCGCTTGACCCTTTGATCGAGGATCTCTCAGGAGAGACCGAAGGGGCTGCAGTTGAAGGAGCCGGCGGGGCTCAAGCTGAGCCACCGGGCGGGGACAGTGAGCGTGCTGACGCTGCTATGCTTGGAGCGCTCGCTGATGAGAGCGAGTCACGACGTGACACGATCGTTGTCGATGATGTGGAGCTGAGTCTTAACAGTACCTTGTCAGTGCTTCGCCGAGCTTGCCAGAGCTTGGGGATAGGAAAGTCAGGATCCAAAGCAGTTGTGTTCCAGCGGTTGTGCAATCAGCTTGACCGGCTCAAGTTGATTGAAGCAAGTCGTGCCACGGAGGTTCCGAATTCACCTGTGCCCCACGTGCCGGCGGCACCAAAGGAACCTACGCCAGAGCAGAGACGGGCCCACGAAGCCGTCCATGCCCCTTTCGAGGCTTGGTGCAGCCACTGCGTAGCCTTTAAAAGCCGCGATGATATGCACAAGGCAGCGAGCAGCGACCGCAAGTTCCCTGTGATATCTTTCGACTACGGCTTTACAAGCCGATCTGAAACCGACGGCCCGCATGAAAAGCTTACCTTTCTGTGCCTCCACGACTCAGAGAGCGGCTGGCGCGAAGCGCTGCCGGCTCCGGCCAAGGCCGGTGTCCACGACGGCATCAACGTAACCAGCTATTTGGCCGCGGAAATATGTAGGTTGCTTAGTCTGCTTGCATATCCGAATGTGGTGCTTCAGTGTGATCCTGAACCAGCATGTCTCAAGCTGCGCGACGAGGTGCGCCGCATGCGATCGCAGATGGGTCTGAAGACCACAGTTCGTCAGACGCCTGAAGGCAGTCACGCCTCGAACGGCGGCGCGGAGGTTGCTGTCCAGACGCTTCGGCAGCAGGCCAACACCATCTTGGCGATGTACGAAGCGGAGACGAAACTTAAAGTCGGGACGTTCCACCCTCTACATGCCTGGAGTCTTCGCCACGCCTCATGGATTTTGAATCGGTTTGTGCTCCGACCAGGCGGCCTCACGCCCTTTGAGATAATCCACGGCAGGCCATACCAGGGCAAGGTGGTGCCGTATGGTGAGACGGTGATGGGGTTGGTTTCGCCAGGTCCCAAGGGAAAGCCCCGATTCATCCAGGCCATCATGTTGGGGAAATGCGTTCCGAACGATGAGTTTATCCTGTGCTCAGGAGCAGGCAAGTTGATGCTTGCACGGACCATCCGTCGTCTTGCAAATGGATTCACCCCTGCCTTGCACGACAGTGTCCGCGACTCCCCGTGGCGCCATCCTGGGTTCGTAGCAGGTTCCCTAGGTAGGTCCCGGACCCAACGCAAGCCCAATGTTCCTCCCGTGAGTGGTGAGGTAGCCCCTAGTGCAAGGGATCAACTTGGTGGGGTTTCAGATGTGCTTGCCGAGCTCACAGCCCCACCTGAGACTGGCCGAGAACTTGAGGATGATGGTGACTACAGCCCATCGCAAGTTGCTGGCTCTGACTCAGGGTCTTCCGAGTCAGCTTCTCGTGACGTTACTGCCAGCCCTGCTGCTGATGCTTTGCTAGGGCCTGACCTGTCTCTGCCCACAGCTTCTGCCCCCGCTGCCGCTGCAGCAGGCCCGCATTCTGCGATGATAGATGATCAAGGCAATGCCGATGCAGGGGACCCGATGCAGGTTGACGCTGCCATCTCCGACGCAAGAGAGCATCCTCCACCAATTGGGGATGAAGGCAGTTCTGGTCCCGAGCCCAAGCGTGCAAGAATTGCAGCAGCCACCGTGTGCGGAGTTGAGTACCATCATGCTGATGATGACTTCGAAGCAGCATTCTCTCCAGAGGACATTGAAGGCATCAATGATCTTGATGATGTCGGGTCAGATGATGGTGATGAAGGTGAGAATGACTTATCGCCTCCTGAAGAGCTGTACCGGCCCTTCTCGCCGCATGAGCCTTCCTTGAGTCCCGATGAGCTTGCAGCTCTCGATGCTTTGTGTGAGAAGCATGAAGTCGACCGGCTTAAAGCCATGGGTGTGTTACACCAGCTTGACGGTGACATTCAAGATTGCAAATCCCTTACAGTTAAGTTCGTGCATACGTGGCGGCCCAAGGTGCATCCCTCTGGCCATCCAGTGTGGTTGAGGCGAGCACGGCTCGTCGCAAGAGAATTTCGATTTAGGGATCCGATGCGCGAAGGCTTGTATAGCCCGGCGTCGCAGACAATCTTGATAAGACTCCTCCCGAGCTTGAACATGTCACGCCAGGGGTATGTGTTGTTGAGCTGTGATATCTCTGATGCTTATCTGACTTGCGAGCAGCCATGCCGCACCACAGTGTCACTTCATAACACTAAGTATCTCTTGGCATACATGCTTCCAGGACAGCGCGACGGGAGTGCGGTTTGGTTTCGGACATTCACCAACCATTTGATTGCTGAGGGCAACATCACACTATGGCCCGGATGCGAGGCACTCTTTTCGCTTCGCAACCGCTCCGGCGGTGGACTCTTGCATGTTGATGACTTGCTGGGTTCAGGGGAACATGAAGAGCTTCAAAGGCTTGCAGCAGTCATAGAGGCCAAGTACAAGTGCACAATTGAATGGTTGGTGCGCGAAGGTGACAGCCTACATTTCTTGAAGCGCAAGCATATTTTGGCCCGCGACGGGTTGCTGTGTGTCCAGAAAGCAGACAAGCATGTCACGAAACTTGTTGAACTCCTGCACCTCGAGCGTCATCCATCAAAACCCACTCCATTGCCGTTGCAGTCTCTTGACTTAGCTGAGTCAGAACCGTTGCCATCCGACCAGGTGTCGCTATTCCGCTCGTGCATAGGAATCCTTATGTACGTCGCTGCCGATGTCCCTGACTTGCAACATGCTATCCGCATGCTGTCCCAGCACCTCGCTGCTCCTACTGAAGCTTGCATGAAGGCTTTGAAGCATGTTGTGAGGTATGCTAAAGGAAGCAGCGGTTTCTGCTTAGGCCTAGAGCAGACCCAAGCAGGTCAAGGTATCAAGGCCCAGTGCGATACCGGCGCTGACATCCTCGAGCTGTTTACGGACAGCGACTGGGCGAGCGACCGCACCACTCGCAAGAGCGTCAGTGCAGGTGCCTTGTTCATGAACGGCAATTGCGTGTTCACTGGAAGCCGCACCCAGCGTGTGGTGGCTATGTCGTCATGTGAAGCTGAGCTCAATGCCTTGGTGTCGTTTGCGGTTGACTTGATGTATGTCAAGGAGGCGGTTGCTTTCATCACCGGAACGACTCCGGAGTGTCATGCCTTCAGTGATTCTTCTTCAGCCCGAGCTGTTGTGAACAAACAAGGCTTGTCAAAGCTCAAACATGTCGAGATTCGGCTTTTGTGGGTGCAAGGTGCTTTGAAGAACAATGTGTTCAGACTTCATCCTGTAAACACCCTTGACAACTCGGCTGATTTGATGACCAAAACGCTGAAGCGCGAACGGATGTTGTATTTGATGTATCTCTTGAACATCCGCGACAGCGACACTCAGTATCGTCGTGTTGGAGAAGCCCAGGCTGTTGCACGTGACAGCCATTTGTCCATGAAGCTTGCAATCAAAGCTGTGAAAGCTTTCAAAGGCCCTCCACAACGGGTGCATGCACTTCTGCAAGCG